AAAGCTATATGTACAAAAAAACAACTCACCCGACACCCGAAACTCCATGTCCCAGGCGTCGGGCGATAGGAATTTCACACACCTGAACTTACAAATTTGCCTTAGCAGGTGCTTGTGTCTTGTAGGTCAGCTACAGTATACAATGTGATGCCATACAGAGAGGCAGACCTGGAGGTACAACAAAGAAAACTTGCACATAAAGCATACACATCATGCCATGACGCTCACTGCACAAGGATAAGTGCATTTTCATCCTGGTGGCAGAATATATACAACCCTGGAGCTTGTGGGCACGATGCATCTGAAATGGGGGAGATATTCCTAACAGGGCAAAAAAGGATAAGTGCACTTTGTTTGAAACTACACTCATTCTGTCGGGAACAGTGCTTTTCTATTGGCTGTGAGCTGCAGTCTGCAGAGACTGAGGTCAGTCACTCTGTCTGGAGTGCACCTGCACAGCCATTGGCAGTGTGAGTCTAGGAGTGAAGCAGTTGTTAGCTGTGTGATGGAGCCTGCAGAAAGCCTGTGACCAGTGGGCACACATGTCTCTTCTCCCTGTAGTGATGTAATGTGGTTTGTATACAGTGTGCAGTGCTATTGCAGCAGTAAAGGCACAGTGGAATATGTCAATTCTATACAAATTTAAATGAATAGTGTTTGAGATTAGAGTGTAAGCTCCTCCAGTGCAGAGACTGATCTAAATGGTTTAGTGTTTTTTGTAGAGCACTGTAAAATATTTCCGAGCTATATAAATAAATACCTACATACTGCGTTATCATGGGGGGTATATTAGAATGTAAGTTCCTCTTGCACTTAGACTAATGTGACTGATTCAGTGTTGTCTGTACAGGACTCTGCAATATGTCAGAGCTATTTAAATGTATAATAATCATATTGTGTCACTGTGCTAGGGGCAAGCCATTTACATCAGTCCTTTGGTGCAGAGACTGATGTAAATGGCTTGGTGTTCTTTGTACAGTATGGTGGAATATGAGAGACATATTTTTTTTGTCCTCAAGCAGACACATGCACTCAAGAGTCAGCCATATCACTTTAAACACACAGAATGCAGTTACAAATTCAACTACTCATAAGAAAGAGTTAAATCAATGATGACCTATATATAATTTACCTTATACATTAGGTGACACTAAACTCAGGATTTAAATCTTAAAAATGCATTTAAGTACCCTAACGATTAACAAAAATGCATCTTATTTGTGTATCACTCAGCTATAGATCCTCAAATCATCTCTGAATCCATGCTGATACTGTCCTTCCTTTTGTTCCCCATGGTCCCTGTGTGTGTTGTAAAGTAGCCACCTCTCCATGCTCGCACCCGTGATGGACTACAATCTCACGTTTGCCCATCCCAAACATCGGCCATGCCAATACGCAGTGATAGAATGACTATAGCTTACCTTGAAAAGGCGGAATCTGAGACCCATTTACTTGCTACCAAGGAGTCACTTTGGATTACTAATGTGTTTGAAAAGGTTATTTACAACACTTTCACATCCCATAATGTTAGGATAATGGCTGCTGTGAATGTTTACAGTAACAATAAGAAGAGTACCTTTCCAACCAGGCAGAACTACACAGAAGGAATCCAGTTGTAGTTGTACCAAGAAGAAGGCCTGTTCACAGCTTCAAGTTTATGGATTGGAATATAGTATCTGCTTCTGGCAGAAGTCCTACTGTGTTGACATGTGTGAAGTAATTTTTAGCAAGAGGTGATAGTTGTAGCTACTCTTAATTGTATTACTCCCAAGACTACCTGTTGTGGCTTGTGGTATGCCATACACTACACTAAGTAATAGGTACTGTAGGTATTGTCTGTATACCATTAATCTGCAGTTTCATACACGACTTAGAGGAAAACAATTAATCTTTCTGTGCTTAACTTATATGATTATGGTTCTCTAAATAAGTTATTATGTGTTGGTTAACATAACAAATGTGTACACACACACCGACACAAGCTAAGAATTTTTCTGTAGCCTGAGCACTCTATATAAATTGTTTGCTGATAAAATTGCTTGTGTTTTGACTTCTGGTCATAAAAATAGCATAGTAGATTGTAGTTTCCAAGCAACACCCTGGCCTCCGTAGTTGTTGAAAACACTTTAGCTTTTTAGCAGGATTTGTACATGATCAGATTTTTTTGAAAATGTTCTGTGACCTTCACAGATACCACATGGGGTTTAATGACAACAGAGATCTGGAGGAGTCGGTTATATCAGATGAATAATGCACTATATTTGCTGTACCGTATGCAGTGCAGATAAAGCTCACATTCTTTAGACTCACATTCCATAAACTGAAAGCTTCTTAGACACTTTCGCAAATGTCTAAGCTATGGATATTTCCTCAGTGATATCTTATACTTTAGCTGCCCTCTGCACCCTCCTAAAAAAAGAACACTTACCTCTACTTTTTTATCAGCTTGGGTAAAACATTGTTTCCCTTTCAGACACAACACTTCACATTTGTTTTCCATAAGATAGGGCGGCTAGTCAGCCTCCATCCATGTTCACATTACACATGCTTCATCAAACAACTGTTGCTACAAACTAGACATGTGCAGTTCGTTTCGGAAAGATTCATTATTCAGGCAAATTTTCGAAGATTTGGATGTATCCGAATTTCCGCATGACAGAAATGACAATGCAAACAAATACGAATTTCCGATACTGAAATTTATTAGCAGTAGTCTGTACAAATTTTTGTTGTAGCAAAGTGACATTGGAGAGAAAAAAAATACTTTTTTTTTTTACAGTCTGCAGAAGAGGAAAAGAAAAAGCGTGAGGTTCTCCGCCCAATTCATAGCAGACCCCTTAGGTCTGGTAGGAATGTTAGGAGGGACCCCCCCAAGTTAAAATAAAAAAAAGTGCGTGGGGTTCCCCCCAAAATCCATACCAGGCCCTTTAGGTCTGGTAGGAATTTTGAGAGGGGACCCCAGCCACCCAAAAATGGGATGGAAAAACATGGGGTCCCCCTAACATTCCTACCAGACCGAAAGGGTCTGGTATGAATTGGGGGGGAACCTCACGCTTTTTTTTTTTCCTCTTCTGCAGGCTGAAAAAAAAAAAATTAATGCTATGTGGTATACTATTTGACAGCTGACAATGTCAAATGGGCGGAGCGAGCCCCGTCCCGTCACAGCTCCCTCCACCCATCTGTTTACGTTCGGGCAGGAGAAGATGTCATTTTGCGGCGAGTTTTCGTCGGGTTCCGTCGGGTCGTTGTGCAGCGGGACTTTTTTTATTTCAGCAGGTCGGCAGGCGTTATGCATCGTGATTGATGCTGGATTACATCGATGGAGCCATTTTGTTTTTGAATTAACCTCCCTGGCGGTCTTATTTTTCCCAATATATTTTGTCTATTTTGTTTTCCGTTTTTTTTAATTTCCCGCTGGTTCCGCCCCCCTGCGGCGCAGCCGCTTGCAAGGGACGGAACCCGGAAAACGGATGCCGGCATCGGCCGGAGGACACAGCGCGGCTCGTAGGGAGAAGGTAAGTGAAGCGCTGTGCAATCCCGAGTGTGGCTCCGGGTTACCGCTTTTGGTACTGAAAATTAACCCCAAGCCACACTCGGGATTACCACCAAGAATGTTAAAGGAATAGTCAAAAATGTACTCTTTGGGTTTTTTTTCAATTAAATGATTTTTTCTAAAAGTCTGGTTTACTTTGAATTTTACCCTTTAGTGAATGAGTAGGGGTACAAGTACCCCTTACTCGTTCACATAGGGGGGCATCTGGGTGCCCCCTTAATTAAAGGGGTACCCCGATGCAAATAAGCCCCTTCCCAATGCCGGGAGCACATGGCCTGGTAAGGTGCAGGGAGATCTGCCACCCCCTTTCCTGCCCTGCCTCGTCTGTGCTCGGATCAAGGGTCTAGTAGAAATGTTAGGGAGCATCCCATGTTTTTTTCCCATTTCTTTGGGGCTGAGGTTCCCCTTTAAAATTCCTACTAGACCTAAAGGGCCTGGTATGGCTTTTGGGGGAATAC